TTATAATCCTAGCTCCTTTGCCCTTTGGAATATCATATTCTAAGCCTTCCTATCCTTTAATGTAGAAGATGCTACACAATACTTGAATTGTTTCTTTCTGGCTGCTTGCAATATTTTCTCCTTGACCTAGGAGTTCTAGAATTTGACTATAATATTCCTGGGAATTTTCATTTTGGGAATCTCTTTCAAGAGGTGATCAGTGGATTTTTTCAATGTCTATTTTACCCCCTGATTCTAAAATATCAGGGCAGTTTTCCTTGAGAATTTCTTGAAATATGATGTCTAGATCCTTTTTTTGATCATGGCTTTTAGGTAGTCCAATAATTTTTAAATTATCTCTCCTGGATCTGCTTTCCAGTTCAGTTGTCTTTCCAGTGAGATAGTTCATGTTGTCTTCTATTTTTTTATTCTTTTGGTTTTGTTTTATTGTTTCTTGATTTCTCATAAAGTCATTAGCTTCCAATTGCTCCATTCTAATTTTTAAGGAATTATTTTCTTCAGTGAGCTTTTGTACCTCCTTTTCCATTTGGCCAATCCTACTTTTTTAAGGAGTTTTTTCTCTAGTGAATTTTTGTGCCTCTTTTTCCATTTGGCCAATTCTGCTTTTTATGTATTCTCCTCATTGGCTTTTTGTACTAAGACATTTGGCCTAGTCTATTTTTTAAGGTGTTATTTTCTTTGCTGTTTGTGTGTGTGTGTCTGTGTGTCTTCTTTACCAAGCTGTGGACTCATTTTTCATGATTTTCTTGCAACACTCTCATTTCTCTTCCCAATTTTTCTTCTGCCTCTCTTACTTGATTTTCAAAATCCTTTTTGAGCTCTTCCATGGCCTGAGACCAATTCATATTTTTCTTGGAGGCTTTGGGCATAGGAATGTTGACTTTGCTGTCTTCTTCTGAGTGTGTGTTTTGATCTTCCTTGTCACCATAGTAACTTTCTATGGTCAGAATTTTTTTATTTTTTACTAATTTATATTTAGTTTTGAACGATCACTTCCATACACTTTTGAGTTGTAAATTTTTCTCCCCCTCCCTCCTCACCTCCCTTCCCAAGATAACGTGCAATCTGATATAGGCTCTACATATACATTCCTATTAAACATATTTTCACATTAGTCATGTTGTAGAGAAGATTTAGATCCAATATCAGGAACCACAAGAAAGAGGAAACAAAAGAAAACAGAAAAAAAATAGCAAAGAGTATGCTTCAACCTGCATTCAAACTCCATAGTTCTTTCTCTGGATATGGATAGCATTTTCCATCATGAGACTTTTGGAGATCCTTGCATTGCTGAGAAGGGCTAAGTCTATCAAAGTTAGTCATGGCACAACATGGCTGTTACTGTGTACAACATTCTCCTGGTTCTGCTCACTTCACTCAGCATCAGTCCATACAAGTCTTTCCAGGTTTTTCTGAAGTCAGCCTGTTCATCATTTCTTACAGCACAATAGTATTCCATTACATTCATATACCACAACTTGGTTCAGCCATTCCCCAACTGATGGGTGTCCCTTCAATTTCCAATTCTTTGCCACCACAGAAAAAACTGCTATAAATATTTTTGTACATGTGAGTCCTTTTCCCATTTTTATGATCTCTTTGGGGTACAGACCTAGAAGTGCTATTGCTGGGTCAAAGGGTATGCACCTTTTTATAACCCTTTGGGCATAATTCCAAATTGCTCTTCAAAATGGTTGGATCAGTTCACAACTTATGGTCAGAATTTTTTTCTCTTGTTTGCTCATTTTCCCAGCCTATTTCTTGACTTTTAACTCTTTGTGAAAAGAGCGGAGGGTGCACTGTCCTAAGCTTCAGGAGTTTCTTGCAGCTGTTTTCAGAAATACTTTTAGGGACCTGCACATTTTCAGTTCTTCCAAGGGGATGTGATCTAAGGAGAAATGTATTTACTCCTCTCCTGCCTGTGCTCTGGTATGTGAGCGACACAAGTACTCTTTTCTGCCCTGGAACTGTGACGAGTGTCCCTGCTCCACTGTACCTACAAGCTCTGTTGTGCTGATGCTTCTCCTCACCCTGGGACTGCCACCCAGGTCCGAGTATGGGCAAAGCAATAGAGTCCTGCCTCAGTGCTAGCAAAGAGACCCCTGTAATCTCCTTCTGACCAGTTGTTTGACCCCTGCACCATCTGTGGGCCGAAAGCTCTAGAAGAAGCTGCCGCCACTACTGATTCAGTGGCTCCCAAGGCCTGCTCCTGGTTTGCTGGGACTGATGCTAGGGCTGTGCTGGCACGGCCTGCACTGGACTGTGCTCCACTCTCACCCAGGTGTGACAGACCCTTCCTGCCAACCTTCTAAGCATTTTTGGCTGGAAAATTATCTCACCCCGTCCTCTTGTGGGTTCTGCTGCTCCAGGAATTGTTTTATGGCATTATTTAAAGGTGTTTGGAGGAGTTTGGGGGAGAGCTCGGATGAGTTGCTGCCTTTTATCTCTCCCCACTTCCCATTGTATCCATTTTAACTTAAATTCTTGCCCACAGGCTGATTTCTTTTAGGCCTTGCACAAGATTTTTTCATGGCCTGGGCTTATGGACTAACTTGTTGGTGGCATGTTCCAGGATGGAGTTTATGGAAGAAACAGACCCTCATGATCTTTATAAAGTATCTCCTACCAATCAATCAACAAGATTTTATTAAGTACCTACTCTGCTCAAGAGAACACACAGTGCCTCCAGTAGCTACCCTGCACCATGGGTTTGAAACAGATCACACTTGACTAACTATGGCTTGTTTTGAATAGGTTATCCTGCATTCATGTCACCAGTAGACATGGTTTTGTATCATTGATATAGTCACCCTTAAACTAGGCTGCTCCAGAAATAGTAGCCAGCTCCTCTTAAATCTGAACTAAAGGTTAGGTTAGGTTAACAGTTAACAGTGACTCTTCTCAGAAAATTTGTGATTCAACTTTAGTCTTATGGATTCAGGTTGCTTATATTCATATTAACACTTTGCCTTTCTTCCTGCTTCAAATGTAAAATAGTTGAAAAGCTCTGTTCCCTAGAATTTTAACAGGACTAAAAGAATAAAACTAAGAGTTGTTTTACCCAGATTGGATTCAAAATTTGGGTTTGACATGATTTCAGGTAATGAATTTGATATCTAAGTCTCTAAAAGTAAAAGAAGACTCTGCCATATACTTAAAGGGTTGGTTTGGAGTTTTGGTGAAAGGAACCAAATCTAGCATTAGTGCCCAAAACTCCATTAATGAAAAACAGGTGAAGGCCAAACCTGCAATAAAAGTAAATTCATCTAAACAAATCACCATACAATGTTACAGCCTACCCCTTCTCTCCTCCCCCCCTTTTTTAACAAAGGCTGGCTTATCCAAGATTGAGAGTCAGGCAGTGCCATCTAGAACATTTGAACTGAAATAAGGATAAACAAATAGAACAGGATCAGTCTACACCAAGGGTGGGGTTTGGATTCGGTCAAAGAGCTGCACTTGAGGATCTGGAGGACCACCCGTGGCCTAGAGGCTGCAGGTTCCCCACCCCTGGTCTACACATAGCATTATCAGTTGCCTATGTGGAATCAGGAAAGTTCTCTGTCACTTACCAAATACTTCCTATACTCAGTGGATGATTCCTAGACTTCCGTCATTCTGTTAGTTTAAAAGGCTTTGATCCCTGTTAGAGGGTGTAACATTTTATGGAATTATCAATCACTTGTACTTGAGTATGAATAAATTTCCACTCTTTTCATAAGAATAAGTGAAGAGGAAGGGAGACTATGAGAGGACTGGGTGTCTAAAGTGAATGGGGCGGGGAGCACCTACTAATGGGTTCTGAACTGGAAGTCACAGAGTACTGGGAAGAAAACACCTAATTCTCAACTTTACCTACAGCTGATCTTGCCCCCCAAAAATTCACATATGAGCTTATTCATTATGTCTTCAAAATTTGAAAATAATGAAGCTATTTATTCTGACAGGCTTTGCCTACCCTCAGAAAATTATGCCAAAAAGTAATTTATAAGCAATTTCCAAGTTAATTTCTTAAAGCAGGAAAGATCCTGAAGTTTTTAATTAAAAACATGTTTTCAATGTAAGTCTAGTAGAGAACAAAAATTCTGGATTACATTGAATTGACTTTCAAAATAGCAGGTCCCATATAGTACAGTAATTGGCTTTTTCCAATAATATTCAGCACAGTGGTGAAGGCAGTGCAGTAGAATCACAGGCAGAACAGGAACCTGTAATCATTTGCGCCAGGAGAATGTACTAGCTTTATCCATACAATTACTATGTGCATATTTAAGCAAAGGAGGCCTGGCAACCCTTGCTGGAGGAGTCGAGCTTCCCCTTCACAGCTCTGAAGATGCAGAAGAAACAGATGCAGAGAGTGGGAGGGAGGGAATGGAGAAGGGGAGAAGAGAGAGGGAGGGGAAGAGAAGAAAGGAGAGGGAAGGAGGGGCATAGAGAGAAGGGAGAAGGAGACAGAAGATTCAGGTTTGGTTCTTGTTATGAAGGGGCAGCACAAGTGGAATGGTTTGGGGTCCTCCCCCTGTGTGTAAGCATAACCTGCTGGTGCACCACCTGTTTCTGGGAAGTCTCCAAAAAGGAGCCTGCTGTGTGTGTTCTCCGAAGGATGACTCATGCATCTGTCACTGAGGAGCTAAACTGCCTTGAGGTTTAAGTACAGCTTGCATTGTAGGGAGTGGTGTCTGATGAGTCTGCTGGTATTCGGCTTAGGGGAAAAGATATGCCTGATCAGTTTCTACTGAGGTCATGGATCCATCTTTGGAAGAATACCAGTAGGAGGTAGTAATGAAAATGACAGCTATAGAAAAACGAGTATCCTCTTTTCCATTTTGTAGGAAAAAAACAAAACCAAAAACCCAACTAAGCAAGGTTGGGTAGAGGTCAAACAGTTTGACTCGCTCCCTGATCACATGCGCTGTAAATAACCTATGAACAAGTTTTCTGGAGCAGATAGAGGGTGACAGATTTTCCTTCTCTCTTCCCCATCTTTGTTTTGTATGCAGGGATTCCAGTCAATTGCAACAGCTTCACAACCAAGTTTTATTGGAACAACAGCAGCTGCAGTTTCCATCTTGTTCATCTCCAAAAGAGTTTCCTCTGAACGTAAGCATGACAAACTCCACGGCTCCCCCGCCAGTGGCAGCCACCAGCAAACAGATGAAGGCCCCTCGGGCACAGACATTCACTTTCACTCGGCCTAAGCAGTTTTTCGTGTCTCACAATACGATGCTGGCTACCGCATCCCCTTCTAGTTCTCCGGGGACCACCTTCGGCCACACAGCCCAAGTGATGCAGAGGACAGCGAGTAAGGAAAGCCTTCTGGGCTCGAATTCCTTGGCGCCAACGAGATCTCTAGGGACCTTTTCCAATCAGAATGAACAACCTTTTAGCAGTCCAGCAGAATCCGCCCAGCCGCCACTCACATTCTCTGTCTCCAGTGGGAACCAATTTCAGCCCCGTTGTGTGTCCCCCACTACTACCGTCTCTCCTACGGGCCGGATTCAAAACCCGGTGGCTTTTCTCAGTGCGGTCCTCCCTTCCCTGCCCGCCGTCCCGCCCACCAACGCCATGGGCCTGCCCAGGAGCGCCCCGTCTGTGTAAGTATGGCCGCCTTGTGGGGGGGCTGAAGATGGGTTATGGGGAGCTGACGTGCAGTCCGTGCGCTCGGGAGCCCGGGGGTCCCACGTCGCCCCCCAGGAACGATCAGGACGACACATTTCTAAGTGAACTCGTTCAGTGGCGCCATCTACCCCTTGCAGCTCAGTTCACCAGCATTTATTAAGCACCTACTATGTGCCAGACTGTATCCCCCGGGCTGAGCGCCGGGGATACAAAGAAGGGCGGAAAACGGCCCTTGTCCCGAGGATCCCGCATTCTGACGGGAGACAACCCGCAAGTCCGTGTGCGGGACACCTCGCGAGGATTATTATGGGGGGCGGAGGGGGGGAATAGGACTTAAGCAACGGAAGAAAACGACGTTTTTCAGCCTGGCTCGAGGAAGGCTGCCCCACGAGTGACCCAGAAATACCCCGGCCGCGAGCAGCATTTCAGCTGCGCCTGTGACGGGACAGAGCGGCCGCCTCTGGGTGGGGGGCGGCGCATCCGAAGGGCCGGGGGGCCCAGACCCGGGGGGGGAGGGGCCCAAAACCACCCGGCCCCGCCCCTGGGCGGTGCCCTTGTCTAGTGTGACGAGCACAGCCCCTCCCCCCAATGGCCTCCGCGGGGCTGGGGAAGGAGCGCCACAGGGGGGCGCCCAACACCCCTCGGAGGACGCACGTGTTGAGAAGGAGATAGGATTGGCTAATCTCCGAGGCTGCGCACTTCGTGGCGCGTGCTCTCATTGGCTCCGCAGCCCTCGGAGGCGGGCCTCTCCTCATTGGCCAAAAGAGCCCGGCCTGCTAGGGGGTCTTTGCTCTCCTGGAGCTGGGCTCCTTGAGAGAGCCTGGATGAGCAGGGGCGGACCCCCATCCCCTTCCTGCCTCCAGAATTCTCAGCTTGAGGAGAGATAAAGACCCTGGAGACCGCAGGATGGGCCGGGACTGTGGCCCTCAGGCAGGGCGGGGCGCCTCTCCACCAATGAGGAGGGAGGCTCGCCCCCGCGGGCTTTAGGGCCAGGCTGTCCGTGGGCTGCAAAAACCTTTCTCTCTCTTCATTATCTGTCAACCCCCTATTGTGTGTGGGAAGGCGCTAAGTGGTGCCATAGTGCAGAGAGCTCTGGGCCAGAAGTCAGGAAGACCTGAATTCAAATCCAGCCTCCTGCACTAGCTGTGTGACTGTGGAAAAGTCACCTGTTTGCCTCAGTTTCCACATCTGTAAAATGAACTGGAGCAGGAAATGGAGAACCACTCCAGTATCCACAGGATCACGAAGAATCAGACCGGACAGAACAATAACACTGTTCCAGTTGGGGATACAAAAAGAGGATAAAGGGAGTTCCTGCCCTCAAGGAGCTTGCAATCTAATGTCAGAAAGAACATGCAAACAAATATGTATGTGTGTGTGTATATACATATATGCATACATATACATATATATACATAAACAATCTACATAATAAATAGGAATTAATCACCAGGGAAGGCACGGGACTTAAGAGGCCCCTAGGGAAGGCTTCCTGTAGGAGCTGGCCTCTACTACTGCTTACCAGAGCAGTCTACTTACTCTGCTTTTTTTATCTCCTCTCGCTGCTCCCACAAATACCTACTGAGTAGATGTGACAGGTGGAAGGGAAGGTCCCTGACCAAGAAGACCGGGAAATTTAGTTTAGGAAACAGGATGTACGCATTGATTAATTCTTAACTAATTAATTTTTAAAGTATTTATTAAGCACCTATTATGTGCTAGGCACACAAAAAGAATATGTAAATTCAGATATATAGTTGGTATGGTACTCAGCCTCTGCAAATTGTAATCACGTCCTAAATATTTGTTGAATGAGTGAAAGAATAAATTAATGAGCATTTGTCAAATGCCTTCTGTGTGCCACTATGCAGGGCATCCAGAATACAAACACAAGAATGAAATAGTCACAGCCTTCAAAGAACTTACATTCTACAATGAGATAGATCATGGACACAAGTATATGTATGCAAAATTAATACAAGGTAATTTTGAGGAGGAATTAGCAACTAGGGGGCTTAAGAAAGATGAGGTGAGTTTTGAGCTGAGCTTTAAAGGAAATTAGTGATTCTAAGAGGCAAAAGTGAGAAGACAGTACATTCCAGGTACAGGGGACAGCCTGGGCAAAGTCATGGAGATAAGAGATGAAATTTCACGTTAGGAGAAACAGCAGGAAGGCTAGTTTGGCTAGACTTGTGTAAAGGGGAGTAATGTATGTTAAGGATAGAAAGGGAGTTAGCAAGCAGGTTGTAAAAATCCTTAAATGCTAGAGGAGTTCATATTTAATCCTAGAAGTAATAGGAAGCCACTGGTTTTTATTTTTTAAAAGGGGAAGGACATGGTCAGACTCATGCTTCTGGAATATCACTTTGGCAGTTTAATAAAGACAAAGTATGAAGTATTTATACTTCATAAAGCACACCTTTATGAAGGTAGGATATATTAAATTTAACAATAAGTCCACCACTGGGTTCTTATTCAGCCTTCTGCTTTCTATTTGAGTCACCCTAATTTTATGCCAGCCTTTCATAATAGGCCAGTATTTATTCATTGCTATGTTAACTATGGATCTCTTTTGCAGGTCACCCCAGGGAGTGATAAAGAAAAATCTAAAGTCTCCTCAGCCAGTGACAGATGACCATATTCGTGAAAATAAGGCTGCAGTGATTCAGGACTTGGAAAAAAAAATGCATTTCAGTGACATCCGAGCATCCCAGCAGGTAAGGGCATTCGTTGGCAGCTCTTCGTGTCAGGCGTAAGTTAAATGTAGTCTTTGGCAAAGTTTGTGCAAAGTTGAATGTTGAAGCTTATATTTGTCCAATTTGTAAGCAAGGAGTTGTAGAGCCAGGCCCTATTTAAGATATCCTTACATGGAAATTGCTTTGTGTGCTAATAAACTCTTTTTGTCTTATCTCCTGAGTTGAGTTTGCCTTATAGACCAGGGCAAAGCCTGAACCAAGATTTCTTTTAACGCTGGAAGGAAAATTGGAGGCCATCAAGTTCAATCTCATTTTACAGATAAGGAAGCTGAGGCTTAGGGAGAGAAAAGAACTTGCTCAAGATTATACAAAGGAACATAGCTGAATCTACTGTTCCCTCGGACTCCACTCCCCTCTTGCCTGTGCTAGAGATATTTCTAAATGTGGGCTGGTAGAGGTAATGAGGACAGCCATGATTGCTCTTTCTAGGATTGCCAGGTCACTAAAAGCACCCTGCAGTGTCCCCTTTCACTTTCTGATGTCACCTCTTCAACACCCCGTGAAGCAGGAAAGAGAAACTATTAAGTTGTAGTATTACAGCACTCCAGGATAATCATACATGTGGGAAGCTTTTGCAATAGAATTTTCTCTCCAATCATCAGTTTTCCTACCAGTTATCTTTACCTGTTTTTGTTGTCTTCTGTCTGAACAGAAGTTCCGATTCCTGTTTCTCTCATAATAACTTAGCTGTGTAGAAGGAAAAATAAAATTTACATTCATTCATTTCCCTAGCAACCAGCCATTCACTCTCAGATCTTAAATGGCTCCTTTTCAAGAAACCCCAGCCCTTTTCCAGCTGTTGCTGTTTAAATATCCTAGGCCCATACTGTCCTTATTCATCAACTTAAGAGATTTCAAGGGTGATTTGGATTTGTGGCTTGAAAGCTTGACTTTAGAACCTAATGCCCATAAGGGAAAGGTTCACCTTCACCATATCCCAATGGAATGAAATCTTTTTTCTCAAGTTCTTTAACAAGAGTTTAAGCCAAGTACCCTTGTGTATTCTTTCCTTCCTTATCTTTGTAAAAATTTAATTTAAGTTTTTTTCTAGTTTCTCTCCCGCTGGCATCCTTCCTTTTATTCTTTTCATCTTTTTTTAAAAATCTCTTTGGGCTATAGACCTAGTAGTGATATTAACTTTTGGAGTATAGTTACAAATTGGTTTCCAGAATGGCTGGACCGTTTCACAGTTCCACCAGCTGTTCATCAACATGCCTGTCTTTTCATCGCTCCTCCAACATTTGTTATTTTCCTTTTTTGTCAACTTTGCCAATCTGACAGTTGTCAAGTAGAATTTTGGAGTTGCCTTAATTTTTATTTCTTACGGCACAAAAATATTACATTAGATTCATGTACCACAGTTTGTTTAGTCATTCCCCAGTCAATGGATATCTACTCTGTTTCTACTTCTTTCATATGACAAAAAGTGTTACTATAAATATTTGGCATATACGAGAACTTTCTTCTTACCAATGACCTCATTGGAGTATAGGCCTAGTAGTAAAATATCTGGGTTAAATTCATTTTAGTTTCTTTATTTATGTAATTCCAAATTACTTTCCAAAATGATTGTGCTTATTCACAGCTCCATCACCAATTCACCAATATGCCGATCTTCTCACTGTCCCTCCAGTATTGACTGTTTTTATCTTTCGTCATCTTTGCCAATTTGCAGGTTGTGAGGCGAAGCCTCAGGGTTGTTTTGTGTGGTTGTTAGTAGCTTGCATTTCTTCTTTTGAGAACTGTTCCTGTACTTTGACCACTTATTTATTGGGGATCAGCTTTTAATCATATATGTATGTATATATGTAATAAATATTCATATGTATTTTAGCCATTATGTCATATAATATGTCTGTTTGGTTATAGATGGATTTTTCATATATGTTATACATATATTTTGTAATATGTCAGTACTTTAAATGGGCTAATGGTGGGAGAAAATTTCCTAACACTTAGACCTGCCCAAGAGTGGAATGGCTTGCCTCAGAAGTAATGAGGTCTTCCAGCAGAAGCTGGACGATCATTTGTCAGGCATGTTGTAGTAAAGATTCCTTTCACCTCTGGCTTGGATTAGATGGTCGCAGAGATTCCTTCCAACTTGAAAATATTGTAGTCCTTCTTTTGCACACAATGAACACTTCAAGAAGAGATGGCCAACTGTTCATGAAATGACATTTCTTATTGCCTTCTGGATCAACGTGAAACCAATGTATATTAGTTACTTTTTCCAAGGAGAACCTGTGAGAGTAATCTGTTCATTATGCTGCAATTTATTTATTCTGGTTTCATTCAGAGCAAGAATCCCAGTACTAATACAATTCAGTAACTACAGTACTTTGCCAACTTTCTGACCTTAAGGCAAGGATCTCACATTTGTGAGATCCCAAATTAAATTAACGTTTATAGGTAGCTTAAATTTTTTGTAATACTTAGCATTCTCTGCAATGTTTTAAACTGCTCTACCACCACCCTCATAGAAATGAATGGAACTTGGGACAGCTAGGTGACACAGTGGATAGAGCACTGGCCCTGAAGCCAGGAGGACCTGAGTTCAAATCTGGCCTCAGACCAAATACTTGACACTTACTAGCTGTGTGACCCTGAGCAAGTCACTTAACCCCAATTGCCTTAAAAAAAAAAGAAAAAGAAATGAATGGGACTACACAGACTAAAGGCCGTTTTGAATTACTTCATGAGTTGACAGAGACTGGCCAAGCAACTGATGAGAACCCTCTCCATACTAAGCTAGACTGATGCTCAAAGAGCCGGCATAGTCTTTTGTCAGGATGTGCTCAAAGCCATGGCAAAGCTGCAAAGAACTCAGGGCCACATTAGAGTTCCTGATAAAATCCAGGGGTATTTTAATTTATGGGGCAGCTAGGTGGCACAGTGAGAGAGTACTGGGCCTGGAGTCAGGAAGACTCATCTTCCTGAGTTCCAATCTGGCTTTAGACCCTTACTAACTCTATGACCCTGGGTAAGTCACTTAACCTGTGTGCCTCAGCTCCTCATCTCTAAAATGAACTGAAGAAGGAAATGGCAAACCACTCCATTATCTCTGCCAAGAAAACCCCAAAGGAGGTGACAAAGAGTCAGATACAACTGAACTACCGAACGACATTTTAATTTATTAATTCCTTGAAGTATTTAACAAATGCTCCATTAAAATCCAGATTGACACAAACTATTAGGTTAATGAAGGGTATTTTTGATGATCACTTTAATGACTTGAAGCCTGGAAGGAGATACCTTCTCCCTCTTAACGAACCCTGTCTCTGGGTTCATTAAAATCAGGTTCATCCCTGGGGTAGCCAGTATCTTAAAACTGAGGATCAGGTTTTTCTCCCCTCTCTAGTTCTCTATTCACCTCCCATTCCAAGAGTAGGGAAAAATGTCTTAATCAGGATTAGAGCCTAATTTTGGCTCATGTCTAGGACCTCCTCCAAAAGACCTTAACTGAGTCTTTTCTAGAAGGGTACTCAATGTACAAAGTAGATCAGGTATAGAATAGCTATTCCAGCGCAAAAGAAATGTGTAAAAACACAAAAGACTCACAAGTGTACGTTGACAGATACTTAAAATAGGATTCAATAACCCATCATTCCATTTATATTCTTCTGGGAGTCTGAAACCTAAAATATTCAAAGATGAAATACTTTGTAGGGCTGATGAACAGGCATTTCACCTTCATCTCAGCTCTGCACCATCCAAGCAGCACACTCAAGAGCTATTAACTTCTGGCAAGCTAGGATGTGGCTTGGACTTATCCTCCCGGCAGTGATCATCTTCTCCAAGAAGTCATTTCAGAGTTCAACAACCAGCTTCTAGTAGGGAATGGAAACCTGAGGCCTTGAGGCCACATGTGGCCTTCTAGGTCCTTAAGTGCAGCCCTTTGACTGAATCCAAACTTCACCCAACAAATCCCCTTAATGAAAGAATTTGTTCTGTAAAACTTGGACTCAGTCAAAAGGCTATACTTGAAGACCTAGAAGGCCACGTGTGTCCTCGAGGCCACAGGTTGCCCACCCCTGTAAGAGCTCCCAACCTCTCAGCTTAGGCCCCTTCCTAACTTTCCTATTACTTTTGAGGGGACCACCATCCTCCCCGTCACCTAGATCCTCAACCTTGATGTCATCTTTACTCTCTCACCCTCACTCCATATCCAGTCTGTTTTTGAGTCCTATTGTTTTTCTGCTCTCATAACATCTCTCACATACCCCCTTCTCTCCTCGGGCACTGCAACCACCTGGTACAGTAAGGGGATGTGAAGGGAAGAGAGTTCAGTGTTGGACATGTTGAGTTTGAGAGCTCTAGCCATCCAGTTTGAGACATCTAACAGACAATTGGAGATGGGTATTTAAGAACACTTCATAAAGTTTATGAACATAGTATTCCTCTGAAATTGGGTGTTTTTTGCACAAAATGATGATGATTTTATTTTACCTTTATTCCACCCCACCCCACCCCCAGTCCCTCCATACAGCTTGGATCTCATCAGGGCTTCATGCCCTAGAGCAAAAGTCAGTGTTCTGTAAGTTTAGGTGGGGGTGGTGCTGCTGGGAACCCCTCACTGTGGCCTTCCAACATGATTCCTAAGGGTCCAAAGTAAGAGAGTAGGACTGGGATTCCCATGAAATTATGGTAGTTAACTTGGATTTTCTTAAATCTTCATTCACAATAACATTGACCTAAGGACATAGCATCTTCAATATAATTATCTCTAAATCATGCTAACAGGCAGTTTCCTTCATGTTTAGGGAAGAATCTTCCTATTGAAACCAATTTGCTATTTTCACAGGAATACAAGATTTCAAGCTTTGAGCAAAGGCTAATGAATGAAATAGAGTTCCGTTTGGAACGTACCCCTGTGGATGAATCTGATGATGAAATCCAGCATGATGAGATCCCGACAGGCAAATGCATTGCCCCTATCTTTGACAAGAGACTCAAACACTTCCGGGTGACAGAAGGCTCTCCAGTGACATTCACCTGCAAAATTGTTGGAATACCTGTTCCAAAGGTAAGGGAGTGCCAGTCATCCATCACAGAGAAACCCTGCTTCCTGAAGCTTATAAACAACCAGAATCTGAAAAGGAGGGTGGAAAATAGGCCAGTCACAAGGGGGTGAGTGTACACTCAGAGAGAAATATGATTTAAAAAAAAAGCCAATCAATCAACATGCATTTATTAGTGCTAGGAGATAAAGACATTTCCATGCTAAGTGGATACCAGGCGAAGGGGGTGGGGGTAGGGTGGAGGTGAGGCAATAGCATTAGCACTAGCAGTAGGGGATCAAGAGATGCCTTGTGAAGGGGGCACTTGAACCGAAACCTAAAGAAGACAGGGATTCAAAGAAGGAGAGGTGAGGAGGGAATGGTTTCTAAGCATGGGCTATAGCCAGTGCAAAGGTGTGGAGGTAGGAAACTGAGTGCTATGTCTAAGGAACAGGAAGAAGGTAAGTGTGACCTGACCAAAGAGTGCATAAAGGAGAGAAGATGTAGTGAGGTTATAAAGATGATTTGAGCCATATTATAAATGCCAAACAGACTTTCTATTTAATCTCAGAGATAACAGCCACTGGAGTTTACTGATTATAGGAGTGACATGCTCAGAACTACACATTAAGAAAATCATTTTGACAGCTGAGTGGAGGGTGGACAAGAGGGGAGAGAGATTTGAGCAACCAGTGAGAAGGCTGTTGTTCTGGTGAGAGGTAGCAAAGCCCCACAGTAGTGTGGTATCTGAGTGGGTAGAGAAAAGGGCATGGATGCAGATGTTGTGAGGGTAGAGGGTCTGAATTTGACAATTAACTGGTTGTCTGTAGATAAACTGAAGAGGCCGAGATGGCATGGAACCCTTATGGTGCCCATACGAGATATAGGAAAGTGCAGAAGAAGGGTACTTTGGGGGAGAAAGAGATTTAGGTCTGTTTTTGACGTGTTGCATTTGAGATACCTGTGAGACATGTAGTTCAAAATGTCCAGCAGGCAGGTAGGTGATGATGTGAACATAGAGCACGAGAGAGAGGTTGGGGTAGATAAATAGGTCTGAGAGTCATCTGCATAGAGAGATGATTGAACCCCTGGGAACTGATGAGATCCCAAGTGAGCCATTCTTTAGAGCAACCAGTATATCGTATTTAGAGGTCTTCGGCCAAAGACTTGGGGTACATCTGTAGCCAGGGCGGGGGGGGGGGGTCATATGAACGATGATAATAATCTAACAAAGGAGACTGAGGAGTGATCAGATGGGTAGGAGGAGAACTAAGAGAATATTGCCACAAAATCCCTGAGAGGAGAGAGTAGCCAGGAGGATGGGGTGGTCTACAGTGTCATATGCTATAGAGAGGTCAACAGGGAAGGTCATCAGATTCGACAATTAAGGCAGTATTGCTAACTGGGGAAAGCAGAGTTTCAGTTGAGTGACTAGGGCAGAAGCCAGATTTCAGGAAGAGGATAGGAAGTTGAAGACAGTGGAACTCAACAAGCATTTATTAAGTGATTACCACGTGCCAGGCACTGTTACACTGGGGGTGCAAAGACAGACAAAAACACGATCCTGGTCCTTAAGTAGTTCACATTCTAATCCAGGAGACAATACGTAAATAACTAAGTACATGCGACATCTATATGATGTAAATGGAAAATCATCTCAGAGGGAAGGCATTAGAATTGAAGGGGATCGGGAAAGGCCTCCTACAGAAGGTGAGATTTGGACTGTGTCTTGATGGAAGCCAGGAAAACCGGAAAGGGGAGATGAGGAAGAGAGCATGCAAGGGATGGGGTAAACCCAGCAAAATGGCGCTGTTCAAGCAGCACCAAGTGGGCCAGAGTAGCTCAGTTGCAGAGAACATGGAAGGAAGTGAAGTATGAGGAAAATTGGAAACATAGGAAGGGACTGAGTAGTGGAGCTCCCTGCAGATGCCATACAGAGGGTTTTATGTGTTGGAGGTAAACAGGAAACAACTGGAGGTAGGGAGAAGTTGGAATGATTAGACCTGAGCTTTAGTATAATCACTTTGGCAACTGAGTGGAGGATGGACTGGAGTGAGGAGAGACTTGAGGGAGGGAGTTCACCAGCAGACAGTTGTGGCTTTCCAGGTTTGAGGCCCACACCACGGTGGTGGTAGAAACCACCAGACTTGACAAGAGATGGGTGATGTAGAGAGAGTACAAGGGCAGGGTGAGAGTAACAGCAGTTGCAAGCCTGGTTAACTAGGAGTATGGGGGTATCCTTGACAGTACCAGGGAAGTTGGGAAGGGGGGATCAGAGGGGAGGGTTTGAGGGAAAGGTAATGAGTCTTATTTAAATTATGGATGTGTAAAGGTTGCTAGGTGGCACAGTAGATAGTGTTATACCTGGAGTCAGAAAGATTGAGTTCAAATCCAGCCTCAGACACTTAGTAGCTGTTTGACCTTGAGCAAGCCATTTAACCTCTGTCTGACTCAGTTTTTTCATCTATAAAAGGGCTTGGGGCAGCTAGGTGGCGCAGTGGATAGAGTACCAGCCCTGAAGTCAGGAGGACCTGAGTTCAAATCCGACCTCAGACCAAACACTTGGCACTTACCAGCTATGTGACCTTGGGCAAGTCACTTAACCCCAATTGACTAAAAATAAAAATAAATAAATAAACTAAAAGGGGTTGATGTGAGGATCAAATGAGATAATATTTGTAAAGTACGTTGGACCTATGTTGAGCTTGAGATACCAGTAGGACATCCAACATGAGATGTCCCAAAGGTAGTAGCTAAGCCAGACTATAGCTCAGGAGACAGACTCTGGCTGTATGTATAGATCTAGGAATCATCTGCATAGAGATGATAATTGAATGCATGGAAGCTAATGAAATCACCAAATAAGATGATATAGAGAAAGAGGAGAAGAGATACAGCTCAAGAGGACATCTACATTTGGTGATTATAGAAAGAGAAGAGAAATATAGGTTGGTAGGTAGAGGATCCCCTTAGCCAATAAGATCTAAGGATGGTTTTTTAAGGATGAGACAGACATTCATATATTTGGAGGCAGAAAGGAAAGAATCAGTCATAGGGAGAGAATGAAATTTAAAGAAGTGGGAGAAATGGTTGTGGGAGCAATGTGCCAGAGAAAAGAGAGGGTGGGATCACAAGCACATGTAAAGGAGTTGGCCTTTGCAGGAGAAGGATTAGAGTTAAGGATGGAATTTGGGGTGATATCATGGGCTTAGGAAATGATATGTTTTCTTAGTAAAGTATGAGAAAAGGTCGTCACCTGAGAGAGTGGAAGAAGGAGAAACATGGGAAATTTGAGGAGAGAACATTTAGAAGATCCTCTGTGGGGGGTGGGATAGAAAATAAATTTGAGAAGAATAAAGATTGACTTCCAACAGAGAAGGCTCAGCTGAGATTAGACAACGTAAAGTTTTAGTGATCCCAACAGCTTAAGCGTATGACTTTGATAGGTTCCATTCAGCATCAAATCATATTTATGTAGCAGATTTCATTTGTAAAACATTTACATGTGCAATCTCATTTGAATCATACAACAACCCTATTAGGTGTGAGGCACCCCCATTTGACATAGTGAACACCTAGTGTTCACAGAAATTACATAACTTACTCCAAGTCCCTCAACTTGTAAGGGTCCAAGAAAGGTTCAGCACTTAGGTCTGACTCTATCTCCAGCTCGCTGTCCTTTAAGCCACACTGACAATCTCATTGGGTTGGAAATTCTGTTTTCAATATTACATATGTATTAGAAAATTGACCTACTTTTAAATGTTTGGCTTTTTATCAAATCCATGTTCTGAACACTTATTTTAAGAGATTGGCCATTTGTATGGAGATAATAATTGCCTCCACATCAGGTCTTTCGCCCTACCTTACTTATCATTCTCTCCAGGCATCAAAAGCTGTGTTCTTTACCATCTCTCTCTTCAGGTTTATTGGTTCAAGGATGGAAAACAAATTTCTAAAAAAAATGAACATTGCAAGATGAAGAGAGAGGGGGATGGGACGTGTTCTCTACACATTGACTCAACCACCAGCGATGACGATGGCAACTACACAATCATGGCCGCTAACCCACAGGTAGAGACTTTCGAACAGTTCTTCAACCCCTGAAGCAAAGCTGGGTACTTTGAACTTCTTTAATATAGAGAGGGAAAGGTGGCTTATTTCATCTTGAGGGAAACATTCAGAACTGCCTGGTTACCCAGAACTAATTAGAAAAACGAAGGTGAAACATCGTGGCTTCATGTGAATAATGCATGAGACCCTACATCGTGACGAGATCAGCTCTTCATCACTGTTCTGCTCCTGCTTCCCTAGTGAGTGAGGAGCGAGCTGCTCAACACCTGTGTTTTTGTTTCTCTCATTTGACCCTTACAACAACACTGTGAAGTAAATACTACACACACACATAATGCACATAGAGAAGGTATTATATATTTAACGTGATATATTACACATTTTATATATAAATACATATGATAGATATGTCATTATTGCTATTTTACAAATGAGGAAACTGAGGCTCGGAGAAGAATAAATGGCTCATCCACGGTCATACAGCTAGTAGGCATCAGAAGCAAGATTCGGACTTAGGTCCCTCCTAATTCGAAGTTGTATGCTTTTTCCAACTTATCCTACTACTTTTTCCTCTGTTGTTATTCATTTACTATATTTCCTCTAGGCTAGTAGGATAAAATCTCGGATGTGCCAGTTCTTTGAGGTAATTGAAAAAAATTCCATAAAATAATGATCATAGTAATATATTCATTTTTACTCTTCAAAGAATAAACGATCAAACTATTTGGCCAGAATAGTTGAAATTCTACCAGATTACATGGCAACAATGTATTTATGTTGTGTTGATAATGTATCTTATAATTTTCATTGTATCTTATAATTGTACAATGTATAATTTACATTGTATTTACAATGTATCTTATAGTTGCTCAACTATTACTAAAAGAAAAAACGTAGAAAAGCTACAAAATACTGTTCCCATGTTGTTTCCATATTTGACCTGTGTATTTCTTCAGGTTGAAATCTGTTTTAAAGAGAGAAGCAGTACATAGACGGGTAGGGAAAGCCAAGAACCTGGCCATGCTGTGACTATCCATATCCATAATGTGAGTGACCGGATAATGCCAATTGCCAATTTTTGAGTTATGTCTGTTTCCAGGGATAAAAATAGAGACCATGTTAGGAATAGCTCTTAATAAGCATATAGCAGCATTTTCATTTCCCAAAATAGTTCATAAGATCTTAACTAAATAGCCCCAAACCTCATAGAAAACAACCAAGTACAAGATGGCCCTAATTTTAGTTGCTGTGCTCATTCAGTCTTTCTTTCTTAGGGGAGAATCAGCTGTTCTGGCCACTTGATGGTACAGACTTTGCCCCTGCGTGGTCGACTTACACCAACTCATTCTCACAGGTAAGCAAAATGATCAAGCCATAACTCATGTATATTCCTCTTTTAAAAAATTATAACTCATTTTTAAAGGGATGCTTCAAGACTTTTGTAGCACTAAGTAATACATACGTAGTATGTAAAATATGCCCTTTCCAAAAGCTGACTCATCTTCAGCACAAGAGACAACAGAACATTTTGATGGCTGATTATAGGACCCCAGATTTAATATTCAGAGCCACTCTGCTTTGCTAATATAAACAGTATGTGCCTTATTGATGCTTGAGAAAAGCAAAAAATTCACCTCTTTTTATGAAGATGATTCAAGTCAAAAGTCTAGAGTCTGCCTTGCTCCACAGTCTGTTGGTGCCACAAAGTTCTAGCAGGACATTCGACAGTTGCTGACACAGAGTGAATGAATATGACTTATCAGAGAAACAGAAATAGTGACCCGCATTTCAGACATTTCACGTACTGCATTTTACCACCCTTGCAACTATACCTTTAAAAAAGTACAGCTGTATAAGAGCTGACAAAATTAAGAAGACAGGTAAAAGAACAATATACGCAACAGTTACTAGAATGTAAATAAAGATAACACTAAAAGGCAACAAAACTCAGATCTAATACGTGGACAAAATTGGTACCAAGCTATTAAAGCACATTTCCTTTCGGTAAATAATGGATAAACTGAAAAAAGCATGTGCTGTCAGTCATAATCACCATTAAGTGGTATTGGGCAATCAGTGTTGGGGGGGCATTCTTCAGCTGTTTTTTGGGGGGGGAGTATTTGTGATGTTGAAAACTATCAATACTAATAAAGAAAAATGCAGATTGCTTTAAAAGAAAAAAAGTACAGCTGTTACTATTAGTTTGTTCTCTCCATTTTAATTTTGTGAACCATTTTAGTTTTTAAAATGATCTGTCATAATTTATAGGCAGAGTTAATTTAATTACTCACTGGGCCTGGAAAGTACAGCTGCCTTGTCCCAGGTAGTAAACGGGGCTTCTCCTTTGGCTGTGATTGTGAGATTTGGATTGGATGCTGATTTATTTATTTTGAACAAGTACAACTGTTGAAAGCCAGAGCTAAGAGAGCAATGGCATGTAACCCAATGGCATTTAACATCAGAGAAAAGGAGCCAGAGACTGGTTTATCTGGTGACAGATCTCTTAAGATCATCCTATTGCATCATTGGAGACACACTTAGCACTTTGTCTGTGATCCTAACCTCGTATCAGGTTTTCTCTTACTTGTTTATAACCCAGCACAATAAAATATTCCCTCTAAGCCCCACAGTAAACCTCTTAGGGTGCCTCCATACTTGAAGGACTTGTATTTCATCAGTGGGAGTACTCCTTCTACTAACTTGGACCATAGAGTCCCTTGGTGGCAAACTTTCTGGGGAGGAGTCTTTAGATTTCCTGGGCTGATTCTACAATAACATGTGTGCACTGTGCAGACACACACACACACACACACACACACACACATCATCCATCCATCCATCACCAGGGCCATGTGTTAACATTTGTCGGTCCTTTGATGATGGATTGTGATCTCATCCTTGTAGGATGCCCTTAGCCAGCACAAATTCAAACCCAGCCACATCATCTCATCCTCTGCCTTTCTTGTCTGTGTCTTTCCATTGGTCCTCTGTAAAGGCTCTCCACCCATGGAAGGCTTTCTTCTAGGTCTTTGATGTTTCACAGAGATTGGAGCCGATTCAGTTTTTGTCTCTCACTCTTAGTGCATGACTAGCTTACATCCTTTTCCAGCTAATCTTTTCTGCCACATTTTCCCACAAGCTACCACTGGTGGCATATATTGTAGTATGCTTATGCCCAATATATATCTTTCTACCTTTCTTTGGAAAATCTGTGCGTTATAAGCTGGACAACATGCATGCTTCATCCAGTTGGCTTTTCTTGTTTGGATCTCTAAGCCAATCCTTGAGTGTCTGTAGATTTCATTGCAGGGGCCCTATAGTGTTTTTAGGACTTAATGTGATGATCACTAGGTCATCTTCAAAGAGGAATGAGCTATGAGCCAATTAAAAATATGTTAAAACTGGGGCAGGTAGGTGGCACAGTGGATAGAGCTCCAGCCTTGGAGTCAGGAGGACCTGAGTTCGAATCTGGCCTCAGACACTTGACTCTCACTAGCTGTGTGACCCTGGGCAAGTTACTTAACTCCATTGCCTAGTCAAAAACAAACAAACGAAAATATGTTAGAATGGGTTGGAAAGTTATTTTTGATGCCTGAGCACTGAAAATAATGATTGATGATGATGATGATGATGATGGCTAAAAAGGAGGAAGAAGATTGATATAAGTTCTCAGAACACATGATAAGTAAGATCACTGAAATGCTTTTGGAATATACTTCACTTAACCAAGCAATAATAAAGGCTGACAATTAATGCATTGGATTTGTCAGTTTGTCAAGTGGTTAATTTCCACCAGGAGCCAATGAAATAGCTAAGATCTAAGAATGAAATCAAAAGGACTTCCATGGCTAACGTTCATAGGAACTGAACCAATGTGTCAACTAAGAAGCCTTGACCAGATGTCTTGTTCACAGAGATATTTAAAAATAAAAACTGAGGGGTTTATGATGGCAATTTGGGATTAGTCATCAGCACCAAAAATTATATGTGTGCTATCTTTAAGGGGACTGAACCTATTGATAAGTGCCAATTATGGAAGCAAAGGGTAGAAATTGTGCGGGTTGGGAAAATGTGGCACATACTGAATACTTAGCAAGGCGTGACATGGTGACTATAATTATACATCAGAAGCTCATTATCTTTCATAAACTCATGCAATAGTCTTTATTTTACAAATACAGATATTAAGGTATCCTTAAAAATTCAACAAATAAACTGTCCTGGAACTGGAGTATTATAAACAAAACTTGACCTTCAATCACCTCTATGTACTATTGATCCATAAAATTTAAGAACAATGTTTTTAATAGGTATTCCCATAACAAATACAATCCTCATGCTTCATGGAATCAAAAGCTTTCAAAACGAGGAGATCTAGTGGAAAAAATCAAAACCATGCAGGAAGCAAAAAAGTGTCTATAGACCCCATTGTCCTGTCCTGTTTGCCATTGGCACTGTCCTAAAGATGCTCACAGTAAGTCCACAGAGGATGAGCTGCCACCCCCACATGGAATTTAGTGAGGAAAAGTAATCTCATCAATCTTTCAACAATCCACACAATATTAAATATAAAAGAATAGGAGCAGGATAGTGACTTGTCCACAGTCTTTTTTTATCTAAACTCCATCAAAAGGATGAGAAGATAAGAGAGTAATAATGATAATGAAGCTGGAGTTTATATATCATTTCAAGATTTATGAAATACTTTATATACGTAACTGAAGTTGGGTTGTATTGCAGGGGGAGAGCCCGGATGCAAGAAGCAGATAAGGAGCCTTTACAGGAACGATTTTTCAGGCCTCATTTCCTTCAGGCTCCTGGTGACATGGTTGCTCACGAGGGCCGGCTCTGTAGACTGGACTGTAAGGTAGGCTGCATGTTCTTGTTCTTTTATATAACCACTTTTGCTTTCCAGGGAAGGGGGAGGTGCCGTTTCTGTCTTTCCTTCAATTACTTCTAGGAAATTTGTCTTTTAAGAACTCGTACCATATGAAAATATTCTGCTAAACCCATAACACTTTATTCTCATATCGACTTTGGAAAAAATTACATCAGCATTGTCAAGGTACACGAAAGTGAGTTTCTTCAGACATCAAAACTAGTAAATGCCTCTCAAGCATTTTTATACTGATGAATGAAGAGTGTCTTTGACCATAGACAGAATTGAACAGTCAACCTCCTAGCCCCCTTGCTGGATTATCAGCCACATCACATCCCCTGGCTGTGGGTGTTTCTCAAGGTTCTGTCATGATCTCTCTTCTCCTCTCCCTTGATAGGCTTTCTCTGGCAACCTCATCAACTCCCACAGGTTTAATTTTCAACAGTATGAAGATTATGATTCCCTGTCTACTGCTGGGAATCTACAAGCTCAATGGTTCCCAGTCTACTTATTTAGCCTGTCTGTCCCCTGATCTTCAGTCCTGTATTACCAATTGCCTATTGCATATTTCATACTGGATGTCCTAGAGACATCTTGAACTCAAGATGTCTAACCCTGATCTCATCATCTCTCCCTCCAAACCCTCCCCTCTTCAAAGGGGAGGGCTTGTTTCTGTCAAAGGCATCACCATCATTTCAGTTTCTCAGCTTTGTAATCTAAGCATGATCCTCATTCCTCACTCTCCCTCCCAGCAAATCTCCAATGACTTCACTTAAATCTCGACATCTCTTGTACCTAACCTCTTCTCCCCACTGGCATAACTACCATCTTAGTTCAAGCTTTCATCAACTCTCACCTCGATTATTTCAAGAGACTCCTAATTGGTCTCCCTGCCTCAAATATCTTATCACTTCAGTCCATTTTATACACCATATACTGCAGTCAGTCATTTTGCTTAAGCCCAGATCTGACCATGTGTCTCAGTCAACTCCACTGATTTCCTGTTACCTCTACAATGAAACATCTTTCCTCTGTTTACCTTTTAAATCCCTATACAACCTGGCCCCATCCTACCTTTCTAGCCCCATTGGATGCTACTCTTCTCTCATAGTCCATTAACCAGCTGAACTGGACTTCTTTCTTCTCCTAACTCACAACACTCCCACTTCCTCCCTCCTTACTTCTGCCTCATATCATCCTCTCTCTTCCTCTAAGACACAACTCGATGCCATCTTGCACATGAAGCCTCTCCTGCCTCCCAGCCACAAGTTTCCTTCTCCCAAACACAGAGTGGGAAGCAACATGGTGTAATAGAGCACCAGTACCAAGACTCCCAAAGAGATCAGAGAAAGGGGAAAAAGACACGCTTGCAAATATAGTGATAGCAACACTTTTCATAGTAGCCCCAAACTGGAAATTACAGTCCCCACCTATTAGGAAATGGCCCAGTTATGATACAAATGGAATACTAGTATACTGTAAGAACTGATGAAAGGAATGATTTCAGAGAAACCCGGAAAACTGATCTAATGCTGACTGAACTGAAGAGAGCCAAGGGAACAGTTTATACAGTCACAACATTGTAATGACAAATAACTTTGAAAGATTAAGAACTCTGATCCATGCAATGACTGGCCACAAGTTTAGTGGACTTATGATGAAACGTGCTACTCGCTCCCTGACTGAGAGGGGAGAGGCATCAGAGGCTGATGCGTTGGAAGGGATTTGTTTTCTTTAACTACGCATATTTGTTGCAAGGATTTCTTTTTCTTTTCTTTTTAAATGGAAGAAGTAAGAAGTAGGAAAAATTAATACTTACTAAATTTTAAAACATTTTAAATGAAGTTAAGATTTTAAAAAAGAGAGAAAGAATTTATCTAGGATCTTAGAGACATGGGTTGCAATCCCCACTCCGTCTCTTTGGGTAAGTAACTTCACTTTTCTGAGACTGTTTCCTCTTCATAAAACGGGGAGATTGGACTAGATCAGGGTGGGGAACCGGTGGCCTCAAGGCCACATGTGACCTTCTAGGTCCTTGGGTACAGTCTTTTGACTGAGTCTAAGTTTTACAGAACAGATCCTTTTATTAAAAGAATTTGTTCTGTGAAGTTTGGATTCAGTCCAAGGGTGGCACTTGACGCATTACCGTAAGTAATGCATTTCCATGCCCACACTACCCTGTAGTTCAAAGGTTCACCCTCACTGTGTTGTGCGCAGTGAGAATAAAGAGATTGAACTACCTGATAAATTAGCTTGTCATCAATCTGTCATTGGCCTTAGCTGTCTTGTTATTTGTTAGGTGAGTGGCTTGCCACCCCCAGAACTGATGTGGTTGCTCAATGGCCAACCTGTACTGCCAGACAGCACCCACAAGATGTTGATTAGAGAGACTGGAGTCCACTCTCTGCTTATTGACCCTCTTACCCAGAAGGATGCCGGGACCTACACATGTGTCGCTACCAACAAAACAGGACAGAATTCATTCAGTCTAGAGCTCACGGTAGTAGGTAAGCTCTGTCGCTCAGATGAGTAATTTCATTTCCAAAGTATTCACCAGGGCTAATTCTCTAGATCCCATTGACGCTGCACCATGAGGCCCAAGTTCAGCCTCTCCTTAAGTCTATACCAACCCAGTGGTGAAGGCTGTGTTCCCCACTTTCCCCTCATGTCTCTGGAAGTGAGCTAAAAGCCTAGTGCCTAGTGCCTTGCATAGAATTGGTGTTAAACAAATAGATGCTGAATGAATGAGATGAAACCTGACACCCCCTTTTTGAGATGGGTGGGCAGGGACTCACATTTACCCTACTTCAGATGAACTAACCAAGTGAGGTACAGTGAAATCAGGGTGACTGCTCAAATCAATAGCACAGCCAGAATGAGCACTCGCATTTCCTTATTCCCAGGCCAAGGTATTTTCCTACTTTCTCTAGGATAGCAGTTCTCAAACTTTTTGGTTCCAGGAACCCTTTATGCTCTGAAAAACTATCAAGGTACCAAAGAGCTTTTGTTTATGCAGATTCTATCAATATTTACTGTATTAGAAATTAAAATGAGCACATTTTAAAAATATGAATTCAAAAGCAATCACAAAGCTATTATATGTTAATATAAATATCTCTTTATTAAGAGTAACAGTATTTTCCAAAACAAAAATTTAGTGAGAAGTGGCATTATTTCACATAAGTTCTCAAATCTCTTTAAAGTCTGGTTTAATAGAAGACTGCTGAATTCTTATGTCTGCAGATAATGTCTTAATATCATCATGAAAACAGTTTTAACTTTGCTGATCCCCTGAAAAGGTCTGGAGGACCCCTAGAGGCCCATGGAACACACTTTGAAAACCACTGCTCTAGAGAATACCATCGTAGGGAGAAGAGAGCAGTTTGGGGGTTTGAGCTCATCTCTTCTTCTTCTTTTTCTCTTTGATGACTTCCTAGAAATTAGCAACTGAAAAGGAGGAACCCAGATGCTTAAAGGTAGCTTTGATAGACACGGCCTCCCCATGTGTGCCTTGTGCTGCTTGGCTAAAAGGTGACCAGGGAACTGGTCTACCTTACCAAGAGCATGCATTCAGGAAACAGTTTTGTGCTTTAAAAAACAGGAAACTCACTCAGAAAATAAGTTCAAATGAAAAGTAGCAGCTTTGCTTTTAATAGATATGGTTTCTCACAATTTAGTGTTGAGCAATAAAAGAAATGGGCCACTAGGTGGCACCATAGTGCATAGAATGCCGGGCCTAGAGTCAGGAAGACTCATCACCGTGAGTTCAAATCTGGCCTCAGACACTAGTTGCGTGACCCTGTTTGCCTCAGTTTCCTCATCTATAAAATGAGCTGGAGAAAGAAATGGCAAGACACTCGTGTATCTTTGCCAAGAAAACCCCAAAACGGGGTCATAAAGAGATGTAAAGAAGCTCAGTGAGGGAAGGGACCAGGGGCCTCGTAGCGCCCTAGTACAATTCCTTTGATGTGACAGAGAGAATCAATACCTGTTAAATGAATGTATAATAATTCCTTGGTATTGCTTCTTTTTTTTTTCCTCACAGAAGGTACAGTTAGTTGAGCAAGAGTGAGAATTCCCTCTACTCTTTATTTTTAAAAACTTTTAATGTGTATCAATGCAAGAATTCCTTATTATAGATGTACAAAGTGCCAGAGGAATGTCCTGGGCAGGGAGGGGGTGGGTGTACACAGAAATACACATCCATCCATTGACTCTTAAGACAAAGGCATTAGGGTAATTACTTGTCAGAAAATAACTCTACTTTTCTTGTCTAGCCAAAGAAGTGAAGAAAGCACCCATGTTCCTAGAGAAACTACAAAACAGTGGTGTGCCTGAAGGCCATCCTGTTCGACTAGAGTGCCGTGTGGTGGGCATGCCGCCCCCTGTATTCTACTGGAAGAAAGACAATGAGACCATCCCTTTTACCAGAGAAAGAATCAGGTATAGCACAAGAACATATTTTTGAATGACCTCAGAGGCACGAGGCTGGTTTTGCCTTCAGAGTGAGTGCATTTTGACTGTTTTCTTCAAATGATTCTCTGATACAAATCCCATTCATTTAGTTGCCTTTGACAGTATCCTTACTGCCACTGCTTAGAATGTCATTGTGCTGCTCGAGAAGCCTTAGAAGCTAGGTGGAATACATGGGGTAGAATTGTAATACAGTGTGTTCAGTCTGTTAAATGTCTGATTAAGAGTTTGTAAATATGGTACCTGTAATCCTCACTTTTCACTGCTTGACTTGTTTGACACTGCCTAATAGGATGTCCAGAGGACATTAGGACTTTGAATATTAGGGATTTAGGAGTGCAAGTGACCTTAGCAATCATTTGGTCTGATCCCTCATTTGAACAAAGAAGAAAACTTAGACCCAGAGATCCAAAGCAGTAGCTTCAGTAAACAACTGGATTTCACGTGTCACACGGTTCATTTTCTACCAGTATCCAAATAGACATAGGCAATAGCTCGCAGCTAGCACATGTTCAGTCGTGAAGGTGCGGACACCTGTTTATGTGTGTGTGTATATGTATGTAGTTATTTAAGATCTCTGCCATACCGATTTCCAGGAGAGGTGGAGGCAGCTTTCTGCAACTTTAAAATTTTAATGACGTAACTCGTAAAGATGATAGAAACAATATGTCAATAGCATTTGAAGACACGTTTATTAAAGGTTTTTAAAGCAGTTAATTTCAACATAACCATATTCCTTTTGAGAGGGTACACAATCCTGCCATCTAAGTCTTTGGAACATGAAGTACATTGCTGCTTCCTGGATTTAAGTTCTACCAGAATAGATGGTTTGGTCAAACATCTTTAATATATAACTATTTTTTAAAATTCAGTGGTGCCTGACCAGGTGAAAAAATAGCCAATTGACCTGTGTCTCCCAATATGCTTCTCTGGGAAAATGTAGTTGGAGAAGTGTTGCTGTCAGAGTATAACTGTACCATGCACCACTTGTGGAAAGAAGATGGCGGAAAGACCAGAATCTTCTTTTCGCATACTTCTTAAACCATCTGTGCAGCTGCTGGCCCTTCTCATACTATAAGCTCCAAGTCCCTAAGCTCCTTCATTGTTCAACCGCTTTCAGTAAGAAATTGAATTTCTCTGAGATGCATCTTTTTGGTAAGGAGTGATTAATCTTCTCAGAGCCATAGCACACAATATACTTTCTTCATCTGTCTTTTTTCATCTGTACAGAACCCAAAATAAGAATTCATTTTGCACAAGGGGACAATGTAGTTGTCCTAAACATGAGCAAACTTGCTTTTAAATGTAATTTGTCAATTGTTTGTATCAAGCCCACAATCCTAAATGATTAAGTCTTAGGTAGTGCAGACCAATGCCAGCCACCTTCGTACATAACCTATACTTGCATTATTCTTTTTTTTTTTTTGATTAGGCAGTGGGGTTAAGTGACTTACCCAGGGTCACACAGCTAGCTAGTGTCAAGTGTCTGAGGCCGGATTTCAACTCAGGTCCTCCTGACTCGAGGGCCGGTGCCCTATTCACTGCGCCACCTAGCTGCCCCTAGAGTCTATACTTAAAAGTGTCTTATGAAAATCTTTCTTCACAATAAATAATCAATAAAATCCTCAGGAACTTTGTTAGACACTGAAAAGAATAAAATGCAAAAATTTTTTAAAGAATCTAAACTTATTTTCTCTATACTAAGCCCTTCTACTCATTGGAAAAGCCCTGATACTGGTGGCTTGTTTGTGCCTCTTGCTAATGATTTGCATGTAATAGGCACTAGGTAAATTATTTTGTTGAATAAATGAATATGTATGTGTATATATATATATATGTATATACATATATACATATACATATACATATACATATATATATATATATATATATATATACACATTCATGCATATGGGCTTCCTGGTCTCAACAACCTTATTTCTTGACTTTTCCAGCCCTTAGCCACAAGAGGCAGGAGAGCAAGAACAGAAGGCACCTTCTCAAAGGGTCCAGAACTCACGTGGAAATGCACAGACTGTGGCCCCAAGAGGACCAAAAAGCATTTTCTTCAGAATGGCAGGATTTGACTCTTAGAACTAAACAGCTTTTAAGATATTTTCATATTTTGCCATCTTAGAATTACATAAAATAAAAACGAAATTGCTTTTATTAGCAAAACTAAAGAGAGCTGGAAAGGACCTGATTTGTGCTACAGGAAACACAGTAAACTAGGTTAGAGAAAGCACACATAAACTGATGTGTCTTTGCCCTTCTTAAGTCAGCTTTTCTGTACATGCCATGCCATGAGAAAATGTCCTTTTTCTTCTCATGTCCTTAAAAAATATTATGTAATTTCTCTATTTTGGAATTGTAGTGATAGAATTCTAGAAGGTCTCCTTCTCCCTACACGTGGCACCTGAGTGAAGCCAGTTTGAAGCCAGTGGGTGGAGCTAGTCACCTGAGCTAGGAAAATCTTGATCTGTCTGTCACCTCTGTCCTGCACATGAGCTAAGATGTCCCCTTCAGTCAGGAAACAGCTTTGGTGGGCAGACCCAGCCAAGGAAAATGAATGAGCTTTGGCACAGAGACAAGGAGTGTGCTTCAGGCGCTTAGGAGGAGCTGGCAGGATGCAGACAAATTCCAAGAGAAGAAATAAGGTATCCATCAATGGGGGTTTGGCAAGCAAGGTACACAGGGTGAAGAAGCCAAGCTGCACCAAAGGAGAGAGCCAGGCTCAAGCACCAGCTAGTGAATGGGCTTTCACAAAACAAAAACGAATAGCTTAGAGAAAAAGAGGCAAGGAAGGGACAGAGATAGGAATGCTAGGACCCAGTCCTAGAGTCACCTAGCCATTCAGGAAGTTAGTGTAGGATGACCTGAATACAAGGGGCAGCTCTGTGGGAGCAAATGGGAAAGTGCCTGCAGTATGGGGAGAGGTTGGGGAGGGGGACAGGGGACAGTAGAACAGAAGTACCAAGTGTGTTTGGAGGCAGAGGAGACCAGTTGGGTACCCACCCATATCTGGAGGGAAACTGAGCATGCTACCAGCGCAAATACATGTACACCTGCCAACTAAAAGTCTGAGCTGCCTAGTTGAATATTCACCCTTTCTCCCTAAACGGAGGCTGAGGATACCCCATTCGTCAAGCCATGCTATGGCTAGACTTCAGTTGTAAATAAGTTTATTAAAAAATCTGTGTCCTCTGAGTGAGTCTCTTTCTATGCTTCTATCTTTATTTTCTTTTCCCAGATTTCCTAGCATAAGTTCTTTTAGGAAAAGTCTAACCTCATTTCAATTCAATAAGCATTTATTAAGCACCTGCTGTATGCCAGACACTATGCTAAGCACTTAGGCTGCAAAGACAGAAATGAAATGGTCTTTGTCCTCAAAGACTGTGAGTAGAAAAGGGATGTTCCTCACTGTCTGAGATATGTGATAAACTCACAGTGACCAGGGGCCGTTCGTTCAGCAAGGATTTAATGAGTCCCTACTCTGGACAGGGAACTGTGACTACAAGGGCAGAAAGTGACTGGATGTTAGGGGAAGCTAATGGAGCTGAAGCACATACACACTAGGAGATCTAAGCTGGAAAAGGTGGGAAACAGAGGCGGCTGTTGATCCCATACCACTGTTTCTCACTTCCTCCAGACTTTTGTGACTTCTTTTTTAAGGGTGGCATTGGTGTTTACCTAAACCTGATTTTTTAATATTTTTGGTGGTAGGAAGAAGGGGGGAAACATGTGATTGCATCAGGATGGCGGAATTCCCAATGTGGAAACTTCTTCCACCTGCAAAGATTTGTAGTTTAATACCTATGGAGTGGCCACCGCGTTGAGAGGTTTAACGACTTGGCCATGGTCATACGCTTAATATAGGTCAGCAGCTGAACTTGAACTTCGATCATCCTAACTCCAAGACCCTCCTCTCTCTATTATGCCATGCTGCCCTCATTCTGATTTCACCTGCATAAAACCCATGGAGATCAAAATGGGATGCATGCTAGGGGTCACCTCAAAGCCCATGCCCAAAGGTACAGCACTATCCCCTGGTAAAAGGTTTTGTTCTTCTCTTTTCAGCATGCACCAAGATACAACAGGTTATGTCTGCCTCCTCATCCAGCCAGCCAAGAAAGCAGATGCCGGATGGTACACATTGTCTGCCAAGAATGAAGCTGGCATTGTGTCATGTACTGCAAGACTGGATATCTACGGTGGGACTAATGTACTTATTTTAAGACAGCCAGCCAGAAGGAATGCATAGCATTGAGTCCTTTAGCCAGTAGTTGTTATAGCAGGTGGCTTGTTTATTTTCCACTAAGCAACTGGTCAGATTAGGTTTTTCATTCTAGAAACTAGATTTTTCAAAGTGTTTTCAACCTAGCTACCAAAGCATCTTTGCTTTTATGTAATTTCTGCACCCTTGAGAGCTTGAATTAAAGAATTATTGAGTCAGACAGCTATTTAAGGAAAACAAAGAGGGGATGATTATCCAATTTGTGAATCATCTGCGGTACTTCAAGGATTCATGATTTCATCAGAATGAGTATTCCCTTGGTTGGTACCCACAAATTATCTACAAGTACCGATAAATTATTGACAGTGAAGTAAATCTCAAATCAGTCAATTTTGCTAAAGCACCCAACATTCCTTAAGAAAGCACTAAGAGGGAGCTCACAATGTATCTTTAATTACCATTTTTTGAATCCAGCAAGATAAGATTTTTTTTTCCACTAGTGAGAGATGTTACAGCTAGATATGTGCCATCTAGTGGCCAAAAAATGAATGTTCCTTTATATTTATAAGCTTTTTAAGCACTAAAATATGGAGGGATTTGTGATAGAAACAGAAATGACTGGTGCTGACTATATTACTCTGACACTAATTATTTTGTCTAGTGCATGTAGATTCTTAGAGTCCTTATCTCAACTCACACTCACACCGATGAGTATTGTCCCCAGAGTGTGGCCATAGTGCCCTCCTAAAAGTTCTGTGATACCACCCTCCTTGAGGGATTGGAAATTGTTTGTTTAAAGATATGGCTTATAAGCCCCAAGCATTGTGCTTCCCACCTAATAAATGTAAATTGGCTTTCCAGGCTTAATTAGTTTTTAGAAAAGGGTATTTACTCAGGTGATATAGTAAGATCATTTGGTATAAAACATTCCCCCAAAAGTATGTGACATACTCTCCCACCAGTACATGGAGTCTAGAGAAAAGTGGGCTCAAGCTTAGAGATCATATGTGACAACAAGGTACAATACAGATCCTGGAAGTCCTCTTGCTGGAGTCCTCAAAATGTTCCCCGTAGGCATGATACCAACCTGATATTAGATGTGCCCGCACTGTTGCAGCATTCACTCTTCGGCCACATTAAGATTTAGCATTTGGAATTTTTTAATGTGTCCAACCCTAGACAAGATTACTAAGCAAAATTACATGTTTGCGTGTCATTCCATCCAGGTACACCTCACTTTGATTGTCTCTCTTCCCTTCTGAAATCTAGTCTCTTGGTGCTTTGCTCTGGGCTGCCTAGCTGTGGAGCCCTGGATAAGCCTGTTCTTCCCAGGCAGCAGACATTTTGCAGACCTTTTCTGACTCTTCCCCCATCAGTGTTTGCCTAACTTGTGTCCTGAGCCTTTAGACTCTCCCCTCTATTTTCCAAAGAAATCTGATAAACTAATTCTTAGGGATACTTTAATGGCTTAATGTTTGTGTAGACCCACATATGTGTACCTGTGTATTTTCATTTTGGAAATGCAGTCCCTTGGCCCAAATGTGACAGGATCCTAGGACCTCTGACTACAAGGATCCCCAAATCTCTCCCATTGATAACCCCCAAAAAAACAGAGAAATTATCAGAAGGTACAAGCAGGCTCTTCCTGACCATGACAAAAGTTATCACTGACCAGTCCTTTTGTATATTCTTTGCCTTAATATTTGAAGCACCTTATGGCCCAGCCCTGTGCCCAAACTTTTCCCCAGACAACACAAGGCAAGACAAGTAGCGGCCTCCTAGGAAAGCCATCCAGGAAGCAGCTCCCAGCAGCCAGAATGCTCTACCCTAGAGGTTTCAGCTGGCTCTGTTTTTCTTCTTCTTTCTAAAGCTCAGCTCAGGTACCACAATGTAATGAACTAACCATTTCAGGCTTTCTCTGTTTTTACAACTTGCCTATGGACAGACTGTAATTGTGAGAGATGCTGGCCTTTGCACTAGGGCTTTGGGCTGCCGCTGCTGCCCTCTTGCCCCATCGATCACTCCTTCCTTCTTTGATTGTAGTCACAAAATGAGTGACTAAAGCCATAGGTACTATGGAAGGCCAGGTTGGAGTACAAGGTAGAAGAGAGGGATTTTTCTGGCATGCTTCTGGTATCCCTTTAATCATAGCAGTTTGTCTTTTTTTTTTTATAGTTTGTTGCTGCCTTCTTATATTAGAATCATAGAATTAGAAAAAAAAAATCTGATCTTGACTTTGGCAGGCCAAGCATTTTTACCCCTAGTTTATAGCGGGGTCAATGATGCTTAGAGAGATCTTGCTCAACCACCTCATCTACAATGTAAGAATTCCGGTGTCCTCTGAGGCCTAGACATGGGAAGGCTAAGGCAGAGACTAAAATCCACGTTTCTCATACATCCCTCCTTCCCATATCCTAGACCAGCCTGAGTGCAACTGAGCCTAACATGTTCTGTTACTGATTTTCTAGCCCAGTGGCACCAGCAGATTCCACAGCCCATGTCAGTACGACCCATTGGCAGCCGCTACGGATCCCTCACCAGCAAAGGACTTGACATTTTTTCGGCCTTCTCATCTATGGAAAGTACGATGATGTTTTCGTGCTCTTCTCAGAGCATGGTGGAAAGTGAAGAACTTTAAAAACCTTAGGGCTCCTGCTGTGGAGGTGAAGGACTGTTGAGAGAAAAGAAGCCCACCGTCAACAACATGAAGAGATAAGCCAAGACCCGGGAGGTTTCCACGCAACTAGTTTTTAGTAAGTTACCACGCACGCAGCGGACTTGTTGCAAGGAATACTCTGAGCAAGCAGACTGGGTAGTCTCCTAGTCACAGCAGAGGAGGGAAGGGAGTGAGTGACAAAGAGAAATGAGGAGACACAGGATAATTAAGCCGAAAGTGCCACGCAGTAGTCTGCCGCGACTCTGGGCAAAAGCTACTGCTCTGTCCATCCCATGCTGTGTTAGAGATGCGTAGTGCTGCACAAAATATTCTCAGAGGCAATAGGCTTGTGCTTATCGGGTACGTACCCTAGAGCCCCTAGAATAGGTCTAACCCACCCAATTCAAGAGGATGGAAAGAAGCAAAAAGATCACAACCTACTCTCTCCAGTCATGCCGACAGTAGTAATTTGAGGAGAGCTCATCTAATCCACTTTGTTATAGCATTGTAGAGGGGTAACGTAGAGCATATGTAGGTAAAGAAGCAAGGTCATCTTTCTCATCTTGGGCAAAATGAACTACACAATAAGTTGCCAAGAATGAGTGATATGTTTATCACTCACAGGCAGACACAACTACACAGTGAGGTGAATTAACATCATGTAATGTGCATGTCACTTTGTGGTTGGCATTGATGCCTATCTGCTTCATTTTTTTTCTATTTCTGAGTTTGACTACTAAACTATATTCACCAAGGACTGATTTTCCAACCTATGTCATAACCAGTTTATTCCTGATTTAGTACACCCCTGTAGCATTGAACTAGTAGAGTGTGTTGGTCTAACCAGCCAAAGGGGGACTATGGGGAAAGCTGAGAAATCTCCAGCGTCATCTAAAGAGCTACTAACATATGTGACTGTTTCTAAAATGGAAAGAGGTCTTCTCATGTTACGGCAACGACTTAGCACATAAAGAAATCAGAAAGTAAAGACCTCATCAAAAGCCTTAAAACATGTCATTCAATGAAGAATGAAGAAAATAGTAGGAAGTTATGAAAAATTCATGGTTTAAATTTCTTCACCTGGGCAGTGGGCAGTTAGGAAAAGCAACCATTTTATATTTTTAACTGCTTTGAGATCCCCAACTAACAAGTGGCACCTAAGTAGAAACCGTCATGCTAAAGTAAAAAGTGAGAGAAAGGGGAGCCGGCATTTCTGATTCTCAACGGTCAGTGCAGACTCCACCCGGATCAGGGCTGATTCTGCAGGGACATGAGTTGATGGTGTCTCTGTTCCCAGACACTTAGCTTCAGGGAAAGTCTCTGGTCTCCTTTTCCCCAGGCTTCCCCCAGAGGCCTAGGGATCCAAGGAGCCCTGGGGGAAAGCTATTCATACGTTGAGCTCTTGGTATGTGAAGGGCACCATGAAAGACAGAGATGAACAGGGCATGATTCTTGCCCTCAACAGATGAACTAGCCACAAGTGACTGTCATTCCTCAAGGCACAAGCAGGGGTTGTTTCCCTGCTGCTAAAATCTGTCTTTTAGTCAGAAAGAGATTCTCAGTGAGGTTCTGTTTGCACCTTCTCTGACTCTGAAAATCACTTCGGAAATGAGCCGTAAGATGCTGGACATTCTATCACTAAGAAGGAAAGGTTTTACTTCAGTTATTCAGAGAAAATGCTAGACTTTTTATTTGTCCAAGTAAACCTCATGGTACAGAGAGTGACGCTCTGTGGAACAGATGCCCTGCAGCAAAATGAACTACAAAGCCAACTTCTACCCAGGGAATCCTATTTCCTCATTGATTTCTATTACAAAATTGAAAATCTTTTGTTAGAAAAAAAGAATCAATAGAATAAGTTTCAAAATATTTTTAGTAAGAAGAGACAGCTAATGTCTAGACCCAATGTATGCTTATATGTAGCTCTATACTGACCCTTCTTCTGCGTCTTCTTCGGTGGCCTCTCACACGCTCCTTTTTTTCCTAAACCCCACAAGTCTCCAAAGCTGGGAGATTCTTGGATTTCACATTTGAATCTCTCAGAACTCAGATTTCTTTATGTGTCATTATTTGTTTAATGTCTATTAATGACAATATCAAACTGTCAGAGTGGAAACTACCCAAGGGAAAGGCCCATTTGTGGTTTTCTCTATCTCCAATATCACCAAAAACACGCTCTTGCACATAACCCATGATTAATGAATATTTGTTGTATGAATGAGGCCTTTTTTTTTTTAACCAATAGGGACTGCATTCTGATACAGAATGTACACCAGCCTGAAAATCCCTTCTTTAAGTTTGAGGTTTGGGTGTAGGAAGAGTAAATTAGTGCCCTGATGTATAGAGCTGTGAGTTTGAGATTACGTAAAAAAAGAATTCATGCAAAAGATAGTATATAAATATTAGAAGCTTAGTTCTGGAGAATGGGGAAGGGGAAACAGATAAATTCCATATGAATCACTGGAACTCTAATACATGGAATTAAGTCCGTAGAGAACCACTTTATCACCCTGAACCAAGCAATTTTAATTGACAGACATTTATTAAGCACCAACATATATGCCAGGTACAGTGTTTTCTAACTGTGACTCAGCAGAATGAGATAGAGTCAGGAGCCCAGGATTACTGAAGCACAGGATCCCCTGCTTTCTTACAGGATTCAGTGGTTGCTGAATTACTGTGAATACTGACAAGGTTGAAAGACTACATGTTGACTTTGTAGGACTTCAATTTTGTGTTTTCAAAAAGGCACAAAGAGTGTGAAAGAGGCTGGTATAGCCAGGCTGGCCTTTGGGGTAAAAATACCATGAAGGTTCAGTGGTTGTATTTCTTCTCTACCACACCAAAGGCCCTTAGCAAGAGATCTGGACAAACCAGTCATAGAATGCCTGGGAATATACAAGGTTTTCTCTGCTCAGATATAGTAGGGTTAGTGGCATTGTGGTGTTGTCTTCATCAAAACACATAGAAAGCACAGGAGCCACAATCCATCTTGTAAAGTTAATAGCTTCATGCTACTGTCCAAGTCAAAAATATTGGGCAGTCAACCAATGGGACCCCAATATAGGAAGTCCCAATTTACAAATGGATAGTATTTCAGAAGTTCATTTGTAAGTCAGTTGTTTTTAATGCAAAGTGCATTCCCCCCCCCCAAAAAAAAATCATGTTAAAGTGGTAGTTAGGATCCCAGGCTAGCCTGGTTAATCTCAAACCTACAGTTCAGGGCTACTTCAAAGGTTTGCAGCCTTCACATTACAAAGCCTTTTGAAGGTGATACCAGCATCTTACATAAATGTTTTTGTGAAGAGAAACCAATATTTACATTAATAATAGTTAAGTAAACTTTTAAAAAGACAGTTGAGTTGAAACCTTTAAGGTAGCACTCAGAGTACTAACTTGATTCTGAGTCCTGGTAGGAGGGAGCTTTGTGATAAAAAACTAAGAAAAGAGAAATATGCTCTCCCTTCCCTGGGCAGAGGGCTGACCCTGCACAAAGTTTTTTAAATCCAGTTTGTCTGTGGCGCCTTCTCACTTCCCTTTTAAATAATCCTTCCTGTTCTCTCTCATCCCCTCATGCTCCCCCAAGACCCCAGATCAATCTCCTACCTCCAGAGTTGCCCACCTCCCTTCTCTGTCCAGCACCCAAACCTTTAGAAAGCCAGCAGTCTTATCAAACTAATAGGGTTGCACCTAAGCCTTCTCAGACAGAGGTCTTGACCTTTTTAAGAGAGGATGCTTGCTAACATGAACGAGGCTCTAATTAGCAGGAAGCTATTATAATGTGAAGTGAAAAATTCAGACAAGGTAAGAAGATGTTTTGACCAGCAGCGGCTGCCAAATAAATAGGCTTGTGCCGCCTGGGAACTCATCCCTGGACTTAGCTCCCTAAACTATTCTCATAACTCCTCTTCATTCACTTGTGAATCCACAAATTCTCCGAGATGTGATCCAAAGGCTCTGAGTAGGTGCTCCTGCCCTGACTGCAAGGGGCGGGGGGCAAGGAAAGGAAAGGGAGTGGGATAGAGCAGGACCGTGGTCCCAGGGCTGGTGCTGGGGGATTGGCAGCTGACAGTTCTCTCTGGGACCCTGGAGTCATCAGCACCCAGACAATTCCAGATCTTTTAGGAAGGTGGCCAAAACATTTTTTGCCAGTAACTGGAATGCTGATTTAGTTGAGGATGCCACCCCTGAGCACAACTTTTCACTACTAATCACCTTTCTTTGTCATTTAAAATGGTTCAATATTTCAGAAAGCTAATTCCATTGTATTTGAGGAGGAGAAAAACTGGATTAAGTCAAGTCTGAACATTTGGACTTTTCTTGGCAAGATCCTGGAGTGGTTTTCCAATTCCTTCTCCAGCTCATTTTACAGATGAGGAACTGAGACAGAGTTAAGTGACTTGTCCAGAGTCACACAGCTAGTGTCTGAGGCTAGAGTTGAACTCATGAAGATGAGTCTTCCTGATTCTAAGCCCTGTGCTCAATGCACTGTGGTGCCACCTAGGTGCCTTACCTTAGTTTAGCAAATACCAAAGAGCTTTCGAGCTCTGACTGCCCCTCCCCCAGCTTCATCAGCATGCTAGCAGAGTTGCTAATATCGTGTCTTAAAAGTAAAAAAATATATATAGATATAGATATATACATGTTGAAAATGTATATGCCCCTTATTCTGTCTAATTACATCAATTAGCACACTAAGTGCACTAGCAGCATAGACGTACTGTTTTTGTTCATGTGTAAAGAATGGCCACTTCCTTCTGAGAAAGAGCTGCTGGCCCTGAAACTGCAAGAATCAGAAATTCCGTAAATTTCAGTCCTCTGAGAAGTGTGCTAATTGATGCTAATTGATACGAATCATCAACATGAAGAATGTGGTAGGCATTCAAAACTGCTCTGGAGAGGGAATCTACAGATGACCATCAGATCATTGTAGCTGGCCAATAGAAAACAAAGGATTTGTTGTTTATTATTTACTAAATTTAAAAATTGAACA